CATGCATCAGTTGGGTTACCACCACTTATTGTGCTAGAGGTGACTGGTTCAATCCAAGAACATGCATCAGTTTGGTTACCACCTACGTATTGTGTTAGAGGTGCCTGGTTCAATCCAAGAACATGCATCAGTTTGGTTACCACCACTTATGGTGGTGCTAGAGGTACCTGGTTCAATCCAGGGACATGCATCAGTTGGGTTACCACCACTTATTGTGCTAGAGGTACCTGGTTCAATCCAGGGACATGCATCAGTTGGGTTACCACCACTTATGGTGCTAGAGGTGCCTGGTTCAATCCAAGAACATGCATCAGTTTGGTTACCACCACTTATGGTGCTAGAGGTACCTGGTTCAATCCAGGGACATGCATCAGTTGGGTTACCACCACTTATTGTGCTAGAGGTGCCTAGTTCAATCCAGGGAAATGTATCAGTTGGGTTACCACAGTAGTTAAGGGTTTCTTGGAGTAGTTATACCGCAATTTACTGTTCACGAAAATATTAAATAAGACCAACAAATGACTATAAGACTTAAAGTAGTCGTTACGAGTTAATGTTACTAATTTTACATCGTCATATTCCATATAAGTTAACTTTTGGACCACGATGTACAGGTTATTAATCATGTACTAAGTTAACAAAGGAATATAAGGCTTAAAGCAGCCGTTATTACGAGTTACATATTACTATCAAGTTTTACATGGTTATGTTTAGAGTAACGAAATACAGATATACCAGCTGCTTTACATATATATACACACCAAGTACAAAACTCTACACTACACCACACCTTTTCTAGTTCTACTTGTATTTTATGACACAATACGTTTGCCTGGATTGAGTTACTTCAACACATAACGTTTGGACACAGATTATTTCCTCCTCTCACGAGAACTTGCGTTAAAAGACTATCATACTAAATTTGCTATTTGTAATGAGATGACCAATTACAAACAGGATTGCATTTTATTGATCCAACTATGACAATTACCTGTCAGACATGACTAAACTCTCCGCTGAGTCTGATCAAAAACAGAGCAATAACTCCTAAAAACAATGTGATTTATAAATAGGAACTTACTTGCCAAACTTGGCTAATAATTCTGACAGTTTCTCCTATAATAAAGACACAATTAAAACCTCTCTGATATTCCAATGTGAACTTTACTTCGTAGCCACGGCTTACGATCCTTATAGTTTCTTCCATAGTGAAGACACAGTAATAACAGCTGACAACCCTCTGATATATTATGAGCATTACCTTGTAGCTACAGCTTATAATCATGCTAGCTTTCGCTATAATAAAGACGTAATAATAACAGTTGACAACCCTCTGATATATTATGAACATTACCTTGTAGCTACAGCTTATAATCATGCTAGCTTTCGCTATAATAAAGACGTAATAATAACAGTTGACAACTCTCTGATATATTATGAACATTACCTTGTAGCCACAGCTTATAATCCTGCTAGCTTTCGCTATAATAAAGACGTAATAATAACTGTTGACAACTCTCTGATATATTATGAACATTACCTTGTAGCTACAGCTTATAATCATGCTAGCTTTCGCTATAATAAAGACGTAATAATAACAGTTGACAACCCTCTGATATATTATGAACATTACCTTGTAGCCACAGCTTATAATCCTGCTAGCTTTCGCTATAATAAAGACGTAATAATAACAGTTGACAACCCTCTGATATATTATGAACATTACCTTGTAGCCACAGCTTATAATCCTGCTAGCTTTCGCTATAATAAAGACGTAATAATAACTGTTGACAACCCTCTGATATATTATGAACATTACCTTGTAGCCACGCTTATAATCCTGCTTATTTATACAGTAATAAATACGTGGCGTTAATAGCCAACAATTTTGTCATATTTATGTACAACCATGGCTAACAATACTGCTGATTACTTCTTTACTAATTACTACGCTCTGATATTAAACAATAGTTCTATATGTTCAGAACTTTGGTTCAGTGGTAAACAATGCAGTAACTATATATTTTGAATAAATGGTTCCTCGGTGGCTCAGCGGTAAATCTAAGGGTTTATAGCGCTAAAAATCGGGTTTCGATACCCGCAGTGAGGACAGCACACAGAGTCCACTGTGTAGCTTTGTGCTTGATAACAAACAAACAAAACAAAAACAGTTGAATAAGGTATTGATTTAACCGTCAGTAAAGGTTTTAAAGTTTGGGCAATGTCTAACTTTGACAGCCACAAAAAATAGAAAAATTCCAAATAATAGGTAGCAAGAGTTAAGTTCTTTTGCTGGTCCGCGTTTGAGTAACCAACCGTAAACAGACTTATCAAGATCTTTAAACATAATAAATTTCAAAACTTACATGGTCAAATATAATTAGCGAATATTGAGTTCAGATTTTCTTTGTTGGTTTACAAAACATCCCAGCCCCCCAGTGGCACAGCTGTATGTCTGCGAACTTCCAACGTTAGAATCCGGGTTTCGATACCCGTGGTGGGCAGAGCACAAATGGCCCATTGTGTAGCTTTGTGCTTAATTACAAACAAACAAAACATCCCAATAATTGATCATATTTAGTTGAAAATGATAGAAGAACTGCCACGAATTATTTAACTCAACGTTCTTACATCCTATCATAAAAGACCACTGAAATTCGGAAGAAAGAATCGGTACTGTATAGAAATACAGAGCTAATTACGAGTAGAAGAACATGGCAAATACTTTTAGTAAACTGAAAGTACGACTTGGATAAGGCAAGAAGAATCACCTCGTTAATATTCTGTTAATTGGCAAAATAACGGGGTAATTAAAAATGTGTTCCAATATCTAGTTTAAATAAATGTCTCGAAAACAGAGTTTCCAGAGAAAATCAAACAGCAAATATAAAAGTTACTTCCTTTTGTTTCCACTAAACGATTTGTTTTTACCTGTTATTGTAAATGGTTTTGCAAAGTAACCGAAGTAGCTGTTATTTCACAGTTTGATCCTTTACAGTTATGAACTAAAACTATGACGTAATACATTACCAGCACGTGGTCAAATGAGAAATTGTCCTTAGGTAACAAATAATAAGAGTTATAAAGCTAATAAAGAAATTAAACTAACCTGCTGGCATAACTACCCGCTTTTCGGAGCTGAGGCTTCTACCGGTAGGCCGGCACGAGGAAGAAGAACGGGAGGAAACGTCCATTTGACCGTTGATTGTATGTTTGTCGGAGGTGTAGTGGCCGAGGAGAAGAGGCGAAACAGCTGGGACGTTACTAAATGCACTCGGCGAGAAGTACCTATCTCGGTAGGTTGGAGCCACGGATGCTACGAGGCCTGCCGACTTGCTGGTCACTTCCGTGCTGATAGACGAAGTCTTACCCGGGGAAAAGCGGCGACAAGAGAGGACGCTGTCGACCGGGACAGACGACATTTGGGAAGTTGCGCCGTAGCGGTAAGCACATCCGGGCCAATCGTCCCTTGCACCAAAGGCTTCCACCTTAACGTTCACGGAGCAAGAAGACGGAGGTGGAATCAGCCCTCTACCACCCCCTCCACCAGTTCCACCCTTGTTCAGGTCAGTAGGAAGGACCTGTCCGTAGGTACAGCTACTGTTAGGACCTTCAAACATGATAACAATACAAACTGAAATGACAACTTCCGGTCGTTACTACCGTCCACTTCGACTTCC